GGATCCTATAGGACTGCATTGGATTAGTATACAATTCCTTTGTACGATTATTGTAGAACTGTCCGCGATCCCCATAGGATCCTATAGGATCGCATGGGGCTCCTATGCGATGCCTATAGGATTCCTACCGGGTCCGTTTGGCTTCCTACAGGACCCTCTCAGACCGCATGGGATTCCTATACAATCCCTGTACGATGCCTATTGAATCCGATGGGATCGCATGGGGTTCCTATACAATCTCAAACGGATTCCTATAGGGCCCCGTGTGATCGCATGGGATTCCTATACGATCTTTGTTCGATTCCTATAGAACCCTACAGGGTCGCATGGGATTCCTATACAAGCCTTCTACAATTCCTATAGTATCATATAGGGTCGCATGTGATCCCTATAGAATCCCTTTTTGGATTCCTATAGGGGCCTTTGGGGCCGCATGGGATTTCTATACAACCCCTCTCGGACTCCTACATGGTCCTATAGGATCGCATGGGATTTCTATACAGTCCCGACACGACTCCTATGGAACCCTACAGGATCGCATGGGATTACCATACATCCCGATACGATCATTATAGGATCCTACAGGATCGCATGGGGTTCCTGTAGACTCCTTACAGGATCACATAAGACCCCTATCGGTCTTACAGGATCGCATGGGGTTTCTATACGATGCCAAGTGGACCCTGTTGGATCGCATGGGCTTCCTCTAAAATCCGTACGGGGTCCCCATAGGATCCTATAAGATCGCATGGGATTCCTATCGCACCATAGTTTTTTTTACTCGTCAAAGCCATTCGGCTCAGATGGGGCCCCTGGCCCCTGGTTTACAACAACAGCGGTACGACGAGAGAGGCTCCTGCTCGATACTTCCTCACGGTTTATTCCGAGGGCCCTTGACCAGGGAGGCCCCCGAGCTCACGAACGGCGCTTTCGCTCGAGTTGTTCTGATAATTCTGGCAAGTTGGCGGAGGCCCAGACACGGCGAGGCTCCCGCTCGATTTTTCTCAAGATGTAGTCCGAGAGCCCTGTCCAGAGAGGCCCTCGAACTCAGGAACGGCGCTCTCGTTCGAGACTTGGTCGTAATTCAGCCAAGCTGGTGGAGGCCCAGCCACGACGACAAGGGCTCCCATGCGATATTTCGTCAAGTTGTATTTCGAGACCCCCTGGCCAGAGACTGCAACTCAGTAGCGGCGCCAGAGGCTCCCTGCGACGACAGGGGTTTCCGCTCGACACGCCCTCGCAATTTACTCTTCGACGCCCTGGCCAGACAGGCCCCCGAACCACAGAGGCCCCAGCACGCTGCTCACTGAGGCCTTCGGACACAGCCCACAGAAGCTCCAAGCGCGCCCACAGCGGCCCCAGCACGCAGCCCACAGAGGCCTCCGCGCGCCCACAGAGGCCTCAAGCTTGCCCGCACAGGCCCGGGCGCCCTGCCCACTGAGGCCCCAGCACAGCCCACAGAAGCCCAGCGTAAGCCCACAGAGGCCGTAGCAGGCTGCCCGCAGGCCCAAAGCTGCCTCCGCGCCCTCGACACTCAGGAATCATGCTCTCGCTTTTGCCTACCTCACGATTTACTTGGGAATCGCGCTATCGCTCGACACTCGCGATTCATGCAGGGCGCACGCTTCAGCAACCCGCCTGTTCGACCTGGCCGCCTGGGCCCGCCTTCCCGACCCGCCTGTTAGGGTCTACCCGTCCGATCTGCCCGTCTGGTTCTGCCACGTGCTTTCTGCTCCTAGCCCCGTCCTGCTACAGTCTCTCTCGTGCTCCATCCTCCTCCCTCCCCCCTGGTCCCTTTCTTCCATCCGTCATCTCTTCCCCTGCCGTAGGGGCTGCATGACATGCACGCTGCATGTAAGAAAGGTATGCCCCCAAGGGGGTACGATCGAAAACGAAGAGGGCGGGTATCGAGGGTGTGGGATATACTGGTTGAATGGCACGCGAGCAGATCAGAGCGAACAGTCTTAAACTGATTGTTGTTGCAGCTGCTACTGTTGTTGTTGTTGTTGTTGTTGTTGGTGTTTGTGTTTGTATTGGTGTTGTTGTGGTTGTTGTTGCTGCTGTTGTTGTGGTTGTTGTTATTGCTGTTATTGGGGTTGTTGTCGGTGGTGTTGGTGTTGGCGTTGTGGTTGTTGTTGTGCTGTCGTTGTTGATGTTGCTGTTGTTGCTGTTGTAGCTGTTGGTTGTGGTGGTGTTCGTGTTGTTATTGGTGTTGTTGGTGTGTGTGTGTGTGTGTGTTGATGGTCTTGCTGTTGTTGAATCCTCATTTCTAGAGAATGATTATTGATGGTCTCTGGAAACGGTTCCGCGCGCTCTCGCCTCGACTCCGGCTACAATTCTTCTGAAAACGAGGCTCCCGCTCGAGCGCGGGCTTGATTGTAAGCGTGTGTCCCTGAAGGCCCGGCCACAACGACAACGGCTCCCGCCGGCTCCCGCTCGATAGCTCCTCACAGTTATTCCCCAGGACACCCTGGCCAGATAGGCCCCCGAACTCGGGAACGGCGCTCTCGCTCGAGACCTCCTCGCAATTCGGCGAAGTTGGCGGAGGCCCAGCCACGACGACAGGGGCTCCTGGTCGACACGTCCTCTCGATTTTGCTCCGAGAGAGCCCCTGGCCAGGAGCGGCGCCCTCGCTCGAGAGCTCCTCGCGCTTCAGTCAGTTGCCGACAGGGAAGGTATGCGAAGACGGAGGGGGAGGGCATCGCGGGTTGAGGAGGAGGAGGAGGAGGAGGAGGAGGAGGAGGGGGAGGAGGGGGAGGAGGAGGGGGAGGAGGAGGGGGAGGAGGGGGAGGAGGAGGTGGAGGAGCAGGGCCCCCACGAGGGCGCGAAGTGCAAGCCGCGGCTCGCGGCGTGCGCGGCCTGGGCCCGCGGGCGGCGGCCGGGGCCCTTCCCGGGGTGGGGCGGGCGGGCGTCGGCGCGAGAGGGCGAGCCCGTCCGCACTTTCCGCGTGCCTCGCGCGGCGCGGGGCGCGGGCTTTGAAGCGAGGAACTCGGGCGGAGCTCCGAGTTCCGGTTTGAGTTGGGTATACTGAATGCAAGACACGCGTGCCAGCAAGAGCGAGCAGGCGCAAATTGATAGTCGTTGCTGCTGTTGTTGGTTGATGTTGTTTGTTGGGGGAGGTGCTGTTCTTGGTTCGTGGAGGAAAGAGGGGCTCCCTATTCCGTGTACACGGAGTTGCAAGGGCCTACTAGTCCATCTATTGGATGCACGGAGTAATAGCGGGCCATTACTCCGTGTATACGGAGTAATGGGTGCCTACGATCCCGCGTACCGGATACACTGAGCAATTGGAGCGCATAATTCCGTGTAGACGGGGTAATGGGGGCCTACGATTCCGTGTGTCGGATACACAGAGTAATAGGCCCTCAGTACTCCGTATACACGGAATAATACAAATATATGGCTCCGTGTATCCGATACACGGAGTAATACGCCCTAGTACTCCGTATACACGGGGTTATAGTGGTCTATTACTCCGTGAATAGTGGTCTATTACTCAGTGAATACCGGCGCCAGTGGGCGTCGCCAGTTTGTTGATTGTTTTGTTGTTGTTGTTGTTGTTGTTGTTGTTGTTGTTGGTGGTGGTGGTGGTGGTGGTGGTGTTGTTGGTGGTGGTGGTGGTGGTGGTGATGTTGTTGTTGTTGTTGTTGTTGTTGTTGTCGTCGTCCCCCCCGCGACCCTGCCCGCGACCCACCCGCGACCCATTGGCGACCCGCCCGCGACCCACCCGCGACCCACCCGCGACCCACGCGCAACCCCACCCGCGACCCGCCCGCGACCACCCCGCGACCCACCCGCGACTTATTCGTAATTTACCCGCGACCGGGCCCACGACCCACCAGCGACCGTGGCAAAACTTTTCCGACTGAGGTAAGGACACATCAGGCATACATATGTAAAACTTGCTTTCAGAAAAGCACCTGCCGTCAGAGTCTTGGCCCGTCTCTTCGTCCCGTTGCGAAGCGCTCGCGGCAGGGGCAGAAGGACTGTGGCTTCCGCGAGGGAGGAAGCAGCGGACAAATGCAGGAGTTGGTCATCCTCCCTTGCGTTTTTGTATCGCCGCGCAGTGGCCAGGAGAGACGAGCCGTTCCAGATTCAGGAGGGAAAAAAAAACACACAGACACAATGAATCGTCGATTCCCAGAAAATATGGGACAATATGGGAAGTGGGGGGGAAGACAAAAACCCAGAACATATGGGAAAATATGGGGAATCATTTTAGTTGTGTCTATTTATTTGTGTGTCCCAGGGCCCCTTCACAGATACCCTCACGTTCTGCTCAAATGTTCCGGAGGCAGGCCAAGGCGGTCGGGGAGCCCTTCCGCCCCAGTTCCCATCATGGCCGTTTGGGCCCGCGTGCAGGTTCAGCGGGGGTAGGCTGGGGAGCCTGGAAGCCGAAGGTGGTGTGGCGTGCAGCGGGTCGACAGATGTCTGGTGGTCCGATTTCGTTGCGCGTGAGCTTCGAGTGGGTGGGCTGGCTTCTGGGCATCCTTGCTGCCAGGAGTGACATCTCGCGTGTAAGCAAGATCATCCGAGCATGGCAAATCTGGAGCTCAGGGCGTGTGTCCTGCAGCTACCTACCAGCGATTTTTCGTGTACTTACGTCGCAGGTGAGAGGGATGGGACCGTTCGAGAAACATTTGCATTGAGCATCTCAAGGCCGAGGCAGTCGACATCTGTTCATAAAGCCTGGAGACCAAACCAGTATTGTAGGCCGAACAGTTGGATGCATGGTGTATCGAACCAGGCAGACATTGGCGATACCTCTCCCAATAGTTTGCAGCATGACCTCGACGTTCTCGCTACTTTTGGAATGTTGGGCACGTTACATCATGGTTGCATGTAAGGCAGTTCTGCAGACAACTGCACAGTAGTTTCAAGGTCTGTTGCCGTTTTCGGTGTTCTGAGTTGTTGGTCGCTTGTTGTGGTAAGGTTGAGGTTCGCCATCCTCGCGAGTCTGGCGTATTGAGAAAACTCGTGTCTCCTCGCCCGCATGGCAGGCCTACTTCCTAGCCTGGGACTCCGCGAAGATGTTCAAGGCCGTTGCGCCCTTTCTGCACATTCGCTATCTCCTTCCAACCCTTCTTTTTGGAGGCGGCTGTCTGGGTCTGCTCTGGATGCGTACCAGCATAGTTAACCAGCCAGGAGGGGAAAGGGAAACAGATTCTAGACGCTTCGCGTAACCCCACCAGTGAGTTTAGTTAATTTTGTTTTGTGCATGTGCAATTGCGAGCATGCTTGCAGGTGCGGTCGGCTGTCGACAGTGACGGCTGGATTCGCAAATTACCTCGCTCTGTGCCCCAGACGACCTGGTTGACCCGCCCTCTGGAGCCGTCCATTGGGCCGCAGATCAAAAAAGTAACCCCACCAGTAACGTCGTGCCCCCGTACCGGGAGAGTCGGATACGTTGTGTACGCACTGGCTACAGGCTGGAAGTGGCGGTACGTCGTGTTCGCTGACTGGGTCGCCCTCCCTCCCGTGTCCAAGGGCGGGCATACCCGAGTTCTGCGACAGTGAGTCATGGTGAACGAGGCCCCTCTCAGTGTCGTTTTTCCCCTTCTTTCTGACGCTGGGTGCCCGCCTGGCGTCTGCAGCCGTACTCTTGCCCCCCTCTTTGCCTCGCCTCCGTGTGTCGTTCGGCCGGAGCTTGGCGCCGACAGGGCGACCTCCCCGCGCTGCTACAGTACACATGGCCTGGCCGTACAGCCGTTGTTGCCGCTCGCTGCGTCGTGTTTCCCACACGCTGGTGCGACTTCTCCACGCTGGCCGCAGTTGCCGCTGCACGTCGCGGCGTGGCGTCTCCACCCGTCGGGGTGTCGGCGTCGGTCCTCTGTGCGCAATTCGGGTCATTTTGTCCCTTGCATCACCTCTAATGAGGGCTATGTTGTCCCTTGCACGTGCATTCGCCTTTGCGGTTTACGCGCCGCTTTGGCCAATTATCTACGGCCTGTACCCCAGTCGTTTATCCCGCTTCTTGACACTGGTCCTGAAGCCGCATCGTGCCGCGTGCCACGGACTTTGCCTCTCGCCGTCAGACCGTAGTCGCGCGGCCGCGACCGAAAAAAAGTAACCCCACCAGTGGCTAGAGTTTGGACGCCTTTTGACCCGCTTCACGAGGCCGTTGACCAAAACGTGCCCCCACCAGCCTCCGTAGCCTTTTGGCTCAAGCCATCTGGCTGGGCCCCCGCCACTCGAGGGGGCGCCCGACGCAGCGGCCGCGCGACCAGGCCCGCGCCCGCCCGCCCGCCGCGCCGCCATCACTGGGCGCCCCTCCGGCGGCCGCCGCCACCCCCCCCTCAGCGGCATCAGTGCTTGCAGCCGTTAGCTGCCCCCCCCCGTCATGGGCAAGAATAAGAACCACAGTGGGCCACTTGCCCGCTGGCCCCGCTACTACAAGTGTAAATGCCAGCCCCCCCCAGCGCCTGGCTCCACCACGGTCCGCCTCTTCCAGGCTCGCCTCTGCCCCTGGGTGCGGTGGGTCCACTTCAACAACTACTGGTGCTACTACTGCGAGGCCTGCCAGAGGGAGGGCATGGACAAGGACCACTTCGTTTCCGAGAACCACGCCATGGAGCTCGGGCGCCGCTGGGGAGAGGGATGGCCCGACCCCGGGGCCTACACCAGCGAAGGTAACCTCTGCACTTCCCTCATGGGCGGGACGTACGACCCGCAACGCAACAAGTACGTCGAGCGCCTCCACCTGGCCTGGATGGATGCTTACGGAGGTGGAAGTCGTCGACGGGTGCCGGCAGCTGCGCGGCATCATCTTGCCGAACGATTGGGCCAACACTTCCGAGGGCTAGCCGCAGCCTCACATGCCCTGGAACTTCGCCTGCCTTGCTGGCACCTTCGCCAATCCCAGCGCCACGCTGAACCCCAGGCAAGAGCAGCCAGATGCCGAGGAGGAGGCCAACGCCAACCACCGCGCACAGGCTGACGAGCTCCGCCGCATCCGCAGTCTGCTGGTGACAACCACGCAGCAGGCGCTCCCCCCCACGTTGCCCGAACACCTGTCAGCGGGGCTCCCCCTCCCTGGCGGGCCGGGCCCCGCCGACGGACCAGGCGACCCCCCCGCCGGTGGCGACGCCCCCGCCCACCGCCGCGTCGCCTTCCACCCCAACCCCGACAGGAGCCCGTCCGGCTCCCACGGGCAGCTGGCGGCTGACTCCCGCTAGCCGCTGCGCTGGAGATGCGTCGTTTGTGCGAGCTCCCCACCTGCAGCCCCGCAGCGAGGATGCTCGCCAAGGTCCCCATTGGCCACATCCCCGGGACCATTACCTTACCCGCCGAAAGGCCCTTCGCACCCCAGGACCGCTGCAACCACCTGCTGCGCCTCCAGTGGATCGAGAGCCGAGCGGCAGTCGAACCCGTCGATGACTTCAGCCAGCTCACCCGCGACGAGCTCAGGAGGAAGCAGTCCGTGGCCCTGGACGTGACCATCACCGAGGTCGACTGGCACAGCAAGTTCTGGGACCTTCACCAATTTCCTTGCGATGTTCTGCAACACCCGCGCCAACTCCAATAGCGCGCGGGGCTTCGTGGACAACCCCAACCGAGTGAACGCCGGACTGACGTGGGCCACGCGCGGACTTGTCATCATTGGAGACGGACGCAGGGTGGCCTCCATGAAGAACTCCAAGCTGAGGCTGCTCTCCAACTACGCGCGCCTCGCAGGCCTGTGGATCCGCTTCTACCAGAACTGGGACCTCGGCAACTGCGACAAGTTGGTGGTGGACCCCTCTTTCGACCCCACCCATGACCTCGGCTCTTGGGCCCCCGAGGGCCCGGGCCCCACGGCCGCCGCCCAGGCGGGCGAAGACGGAGTCAAGATCGACCAGGCCATCGCTAGGAAGCGGGACCAATGAGGGGCTGGACAGACTGGAGAAACAGGGATGACACCACTTACCGCGGGACGCCCCGGGGCCCCGCCCGTGCCCAGCGGCCGCGCACTGAAGGCCGGACTGCCCTGGGGCCCAGCAGCGCCCCCCCGAGCGGCCTGACTGACCCGGACACGGGCTGGTACATGTACAAAGCCCCCCCTGAACGAGATCGACTTTGCCCGATCCGGCGGCGAGAGCCGCGCCGCCGTGGTGAAGCACCCCCAGAGAGAGCTCGGGGGGAACTTCAGCGGCATCTGGCACCGGCGGCGCAGCCAGCGCCCCCCGGGAACAGCCCCGCCTGCGCAGACCCCTTCACGCAGGACCCTGAGTCCTGCGAAGACTTCCCAAGGGCATGGCGCCGCCGCGACTGCAGTCCGCAGGCAATGGACAGGGCCCTCCACTTGCGAGCCAACTGGGCGGTCATCCGCGAGAAGTTCGCCAGTCGGGGGAAAGGGGGGGGGGCGCCCCGCGCAAGGGCAAGGGGAAGGACCACCGCGCAGCCAGTGCGTCCTGGCACCGAGACCAGGGGGCCTCCAGCCGCGCCTCGAGCAACCGCCGACCCTGGGGACCTTGATAGGCTCCCTCCGCCCAGGTCGGTGCCCCCACCGCCGCTGCGCGCGCGCGGCGTCTGCCCCCTCTGGCAGTGGTCGGCGCACTAGACCTAGTGGCGACCAGCGCCGCTGAACGCCCACCCCAGGACGCGCGCCCCAGCTGCCTCGCCCTCCTTGGCACCCTGGGGGCTTGGGTGCCACGGCTGCAGTCCCCGCCCCCGCTCTCAGGCCCTGCGCTTCCAGGATCGGGCGCCCGCGTCTCTCGCCTCGTTCCAGCTGCTCGCGGCTGGGAGCCGCAGCGCTGCAGCTCTGGCACGCGCCCCCGCTGGGTGCGCGGCCCACGCCCCGGCGACCCCCCTTCCGGGGCCCCTCGGCCACCCCCGCGGGGCCCTCGCCCCTCGCGCGCCGTAGCCCCGGCGCATGCGACCGTTAGTCGCGGCGCCCACCTGCGCCCCCGCCGCTTCGGCTACTCCTCACCACAACTTCTTGCGACCGTTAGTCGCCTCGCCGCTATTCCTCGCATGCGGCCCTCGCCGCCCCCCCCTTTGCCCCGCGCCCCCCTGCGCGCTTCGCAGGTACTTGCGACCGTTCGTCGCCCCTGCGTCCGCCCCCGCCGCGGCTCTCGCCCCCCCCTCGCGGGCCCCCGCGATCCCGCCGGCCCCCCTCACTCTGCGCGCCCCGCCCCGGGCCCCCCCCCCCGCCCCTGCCTGCCGGCCCCCTCGCCCGCCCTCCCCGCGGCCCCCCCGGGGGCCGCCTTGGCTTCGCGCCCAATGCCGCCAGGCGCGTGCCCCAGCTGGGGCTGCTGACTCGCGCCTTGCTTCCCACTGCGCCCGGGTCATTGGTTTAGCTTGTGGCCCTTCGCCCCCATGGCGCTGGGCCAGCTGCTCGGGGCCCCCTCGACGCCCTGCCCCCGCCACCGGCTCCGGGGCCCCAGACGCGTCGGAGGCGTTTCGCTGCCGTGGCCTGCTTCTCCACGGCGCCCCCGCCCAGCGGCCTATGCTCCGCTCATGGGCGCCGCCTGCGCTCCACCTTCTTCTGCTGCGCGGCCGGCGCGGGCCGTCACTTTCGGTCCTCCGCCCGCCCTCTGCTGCCCCCTCCGCCTCGGCCTCTCCGCCCCCTGCGGCTCACGGCCTGCTGCAATCCCCATCGGCCTGCGCCCGACGGCCCCCAAGCGGGGTCCCGCACGCTCGCGGCTGGGCGCTTCCATGGCGCGCTCCGCTGCCTGCGGTCGATTGGATCGGTTCTTACCCAGCGCGCGAGCACCCGCCCGCGCCCCCCGCGTCGCGGCACGCGGACTCGACATCAGTCCTCGACCGTGTTTGGCGATCTGGACCTTGGTCACGTGAGTTTGTCGACGCCTGGCGGCGCGTGTGATACGCCCGCTACCGTGTGACGAAGCGACCGTTGGTCCAGGCGCCTGCTTCTGGGGTGCGTCTACGTGCCCGTGGTCACTGACTTCCTGCGCGCTCGCGGTGTCGCCCAACCGAATTTCCCCGCCATTTTGGCGTTGCACTCCGCCTGGCGGCTTCCCCCCCAGTCGACGGCCTTCTCTTCTGAGCGGCAGCGAGGCTCGCCTCCTGTTTGTTCCTCCCTCCGCTGTCCTTTTCG